AACCATTCAGGGGGCTCAATGGTTTGTGTGTGACTAACCATAAAATATAATAACAGGGAATTGTAGCGGGGTTCCAATGGGGGGAAATGTTATGTCATATAAGTGTTGTATAATTATTTGTTAATGGACAGGAATTGTCAAACATGACATATATTACAGAGTTTTAATTGAATGTTACCTGTACATTGTGTACATGTATATGCATGCTAAGTGTGCATTCAAATAAATCTTCTAAATCATTTTAAAAATAAATTGAATTGATTTCATAATTTTTAAATTAATAAAAAAAAAATTAAAAAAAAAATACATATTTCTAAAATTTTAAGAAAAATACAGATAAGTATTTTTTTTTTATTTAAAGCCTCCCCATCCCCCCTCCCCAAGTTTCTTTTCTTTCCCAAAGACAATCTTTGGCCATGGGAAAAAAAGTGATCCATCTAACTTTTTAAACTATAAAGTGGCGGTTTCTTTTGTTAATTTGATGCACTATCTCCAGTTTGACAATACATTCAGGTGTAATTCTATTTTTTACCTGGTCACTAACAAGACTGAAGACAAGGGTCCTGGGGCACCATTGTTTGTGCCGGTCTCGCCTAAATGGACAGATGACCATTAGCGTTACATACAGGACACAGTTCCACACAATTGAACACAATGATTTACCTATCTAATTGTTAGAGGCTCAATGCTAAGATTTACCTTGTAGACAGATTTTTGGAGGTTTGCTGGGAATTTTGAGTAATGGATATTGTGTACAATAGATTTCATGTCGTAAGACTGAAGTAATTGGCTATGTCATTAGTTAAGCAACACAAATACAAACCAGTTCCAATAAATTTATTTAGAGGATTTTTTTGGGGGGGTGAACTTAAATCAAAATTTACATCTCTACTGAAGCAATTTTCTTTTTAAGCAAATGAATAAGCTATTCTTATACTGCCTCTATTTCTGTATCTTCACACAAGAGTTTATGCAGACCTCAGCTGTGATGATGTATTTTACCAACATGATAAGTACCCCTGTGAATCCCATATCAAAACATGTCAAAAGTTTTATCTCCCATCTTCTGATCAGTGCATCAGCAATTAAAGCAGACAAATCTCTGCTTAGAGCCATCAATATGCTAGAACTTGGATTAAGGAAGACAAATAGAGTCTTGTAATTGATTTCTACATTTATGCTGGCTGGGGAGAGAGAGGAGAGAGAGTTGATTGTGGTTCATAAGCAAACTTCAGGTAATTTTCCTTAGCAATACAGGTAAATACAGGTAATCACAGATGAGGGGCCAGAGTTTACCTCCCTGTGTACTTAGTCTATACAGCTGCCTGTTAACAATATGAACTCTCTCTCGCATCACTAGTGATAAAGCCAATAAACTATTGTCTCGTCAAAAGCAACTATTGGAGCTCATAAAAGACGATCATCGATTAAGCACTTGGAATTTCACTCCTAAGTGATGCATTATCATTTTAATTTATCTAGGAAAAATTGTTTTCATTTCGGCTTTGTTGATCTGATTGTAATCAATGTTTTATTTGATTTCAACACATCAAGCTCACAATGTAAGAATAATATTGTTTGATTAATTAACTTGAAGACTTGTGACAGACAAAGTAAAAGGAAGTGCATTTCTTTTAAAGGCACTCAAATAGAACTAGGACACAAATTCGTACCTTGACTACAAAGTATAAATTTACATAAATTTGACCTAAATCAACTACATGCTAATTGATAATTATTTGATGGGGTAAAAAGGAAACCCTGTAATGGCTTACATATAGAAAGTTGATCGATATCATAAACCCAAATGGAAATTTATCTCTTTTGTCGGAGCATTAAGTAATCATAATTGATAAACTGTTTTTTTTTTATTATTGCGACATATTCCAAATGAAAATTATTTTTCCAAAGACCATGCAGACTGCCTAGTTTCCAATATTGGTGAAAAGTTTTTGATGCACACCATTTAAATAAATTTGAATGAAGGGAAAATGGAATGATTAAATCTGTGCTCGGAGCCAAACTTTGATAAATGTCAAAACACATAATCCCACTTTTTCTGAACAGGGAAAGCCTGGAGTAGGATCAATAATTTTAATGATTTTATGAAATTATTAACAAACCGCTCTCAAATCAATTCAAACCCCTTGAATTTATTGTGATGTATCTGTGGATTTGGATTTAAGCTTTAGCAAATGTGTCGACTTAATGGCAAAGGAGACTCCATATCTCATTTCCATCTTGTTCGCATTCTCACCAAAGAAAAACCCTTCTAGCCTGAGTGAACCATAAGGCAAGGCTACCCCTTATTTTATTGTCACCTCTACCTGGTCAGTCACCTTCATTACCATGACAACTGATCATTTTATTCTAATCCTTTTCAATAAGTCACAATTTCCTTAATAACTATTCTTTAACACTTTTGTCCCATCCTTCTACCACATCTATTTTCCTTTCAAAGAAATTTGACAAGGTTGCAAGGCCAGACTTAAGCAAAATAGTTCTCAGTAAAACCGATGTCTTTATATGTACAATTCAGTATAACCAATGTCTAATGTACTATAACAAATTTAACATGATTTCAAGTAGCAATTTCTCAAGTAGCTTGGCCAAAAGATTCCGATTTTTTTGGTCATATCCGAGATTTTCAGTATCTTAGTCACGATTATGCACATAATACGCTCCATCCTCTACTAATCATACTTGTTAAAAGTCCACAACTGTAAAAATTTATGATCTTGCAAACTTGAGGACACATGCACACTAGATAATACACATGAATCACAATCCACTTGGGTTTTCCTGCTTTGTGCAATATGACAATGCTGATAAAAATCATGATTTCACTTTCAAGTCAAAACAAAATTTTATTCTAAAAGAAAATTCAAATTATCCACTTGAAAAGCACTGAGCCTTCCTCAGTCAAACTCTTCAATGTACAGTGTACATGTATATAAAATTTCAACCATCATCTTCAAATTTAGGCACTTAACAAATTACAGAAATGTTTTGAATATGGTTTCCAAAAATAATATAAGAAACAATCCACATAGTCTATAAAAGAATTGAACATGAAAAGACAACCCATGTTGCAAGCAAAGAAAAAGTATGTGATACAATATTTCAAATTTTGAGTCTCTCTCAGAAAAAAAAAGTTACGTGGAGGATGGTGGACTTTGAGAATTTGCAGCACATGTATGCAAACATACACATGTCACATGCATTCTCTTTATAATTAGGAAATTAGACATTTCTGGAAGTACATGTAGTAGTTTTACACACATGTTTATAAACATTTTTTTTTAAATCATAGACCAAGGACTACTTTAACAAACATCTACCCAACTCTGTGATCAGCAATCTTCTTCAAGGAACAAAAATAAATTTTGAAAACATTCACCATATTTCCACAGCCTGGCTACTTAGAACACTTGTGGTTTGTATGGAATGTTTTTGAACGCTAGAATTCTTATGTAAAGCAAACAAGCTGTCATATCAATATAACACTTGGTTTAAATAGTTTTCTGCAAAGTAGAAATATTTCTTTTGTGTCCCGAGTGGCAGACGAATCAGAGAAGGACGACAAAATAAGAGAAGACAAATAAGTTTTAAATTTGTACGATTGTGTCTAATCACCGCGAGTAGGTTTGATCCCTATGTAAAATATTTGGAGTAGTGACGCTCATTGGCCAGCCCCTTTGTTCGCGAACATTCAAACCTCTGTCAACATTCGGGGTGTAAGTAAAAAGGAGATATTCAAATTGCAAATAAGCACCTGATTTTAACACGATTTCCTAATCATATGCTATGTTCAAATTGATATAACAGTAGCCAACCATGCACACAAGCTCTTAAATGGAAGAAAATGAGACAATTAAATCTCATTGGGGACCTCAATTTGCTCAGTGTTCGACAAAAGAATCTATACATAATGGCCAATATTTGCATTTCAGACAGACTTTAATGACAACAATTGAAAGGCAAAAATATATAAAGATTTGAGAAAACATAGTATTCAACAAGTGGGCTATTTAAAATTGCTGGTATTGTGATTGCATGGTCTGTATCTGTTAAACATTTAGTCGAATGAATAGGCTATGACCAATTTCAATTTCCTTTCAAATTGTAATTAAAATTACATATCTATCATATAACTAAAAAATTTGAAAAACTTCATAAGCATTGTCAATATTTAATCAATTCTATAAGCTTTTTGATCTTTTAGCATTGTATATTGAGTCAAAAGGTATTAAAATGAAAATGACAAATTCATAAATCATTCATTTTTTTTTTTTTTTTTTTTTGACATAAATAGGGCATTTTCATGCTATACTCTTTTTTGGACAATGTATAAAAGATTACCAAATACAGTAAAACACAGTTATATTGATCACACTTATAATGAATTGACACTTACAGCGAAGTGATTTTCATTCCCTGTGACTTAATTTATTACATTTGTAAACTTGATGGATACAATGAATGATGCTTATAAAAGAGCAAAATGACCATTTTTTGTACTTATATAGTTATGTGTTTACCCTGTAACTTCAATTCCAATTAATCAGTGTGCTGTGCATATATTTCAAAATATTTTAGTTTCAAAAAATCTTTTTTTTTTTCTTCAAAGGTTACTTGGCTCCATTGTTGGCCATATCTCAACATATAACTTCTCTGTTTTTTCATAAATAAGCATAGAACTTAGTTGCTGGCCTGATCTCTGCTCCAGCACCATTGTCTATAGCTCAGTAAATGGCACAAGGCTAAGGTGCTATAGTCAGAATTGTTGCACAGTCTTTAGCACAAGAACAAAGAGCTAGTTGTCATAGGTGCTTTATGCATTTGTCTGTATCACATGTGCACTGTGCTACATTGCAGTGTATGCCACATGGGCTGTGTGCTAGGTACAGTATGTCACAATGTCTGTAGGTAGCACATACAGGTTAAAGTGCTCCAATTCAGTAAACCAGCAATCACAACTACAATAATTCTTTAAGTACCTGACTGACAAATGCACTGGTAGCTTAGACTCCCAGACTGGGCACAGGTTCCTCCATTTCTACAAGGGGAGGGCTGACAGGGTACATACAGCTGATCACAGTGTCTCCCAGTGTATTCACGTGGACAGTAACACCTAAAACATTACAAAATCATGAGATTCCTATATATAATTTCAAACTTAATATTATATTAAATTAATATTAAAGAAAAAATCCTTTTCATATTTCAAAAGTATGAAATATTATTTATATATTCACAATATGTACATAATTTACAATTCATTTCTTCCTTTTTTAATTTACAATTTCACACATATTTATTTTCATTTCTTATATACAATTTTTTTTCAATAAAATTTCCAAAAGTTTGCGATGAAATACCATTCAAAAATTTAATCTTAGTCTCTATTTAATTGTGTGCATGCATTTATTTTATTTAATTGTGTACACCTGACATTCCATCGCTGTAGATATAAAACACAATGCGGAACTTTTGAAAGGCAACACCAGCATTGTGTGATAGACCTATATAACTTGATATCAAGCACTGAATACCTGCTATCAAGATAGACCAGATTAAGTCACCACAATGCTGTCATAAAATAAAGTACAAAAAATTCAGCTGCTAAATTTAGAGAGACCGAAAAAACGGTTTCTGAACTGTACATCTTTCCTGGCCTTAATTAGCCCTGCTATACAGCAATTTGTAAAAGTTAAGCTGGAGGAAATAAAATTGGTTTTTGCGTAAATGATAAAGCATGAAGTTTAAGGCCATTTATTAATTGATATATAGGTAATTTGTCAGGAAGCACCTGTCAAACAAGGGGGGTAAGTGCACTGGCTTGTGGCCAGAATGTGTTCATACCTATCATCATTGTCCTAGCTGTCAATCAATTCTGGTAATTAATATTAAAACAAAGAAAGAAACACAGGCCTGACAATTCGCAGTCCATGCCAGATCATATCGAAATCCACTAGCTGGTCAATTTTGCTAAGGTGTAAGCAACTGGTCATAATAAGGTCACATGTTCATGCTCAAATTCATGCATCATTTAAATATTTATTTTCAATTTAAAAAAGAAAAGTTCGCAAAATTATGACAGTATCAGTTTCATAGTAATTTTAAAGCATAAACATGATAAAGAAAATTAAATCAGTTACTAAATAGTACTTCATGTGGAAATGTGATCACCTTTAATAATCTTAAAGTTCAGTGCACCTTCACCTCTAAATCAAAGCATAAAACAAATCTGCTTCAAGTTACAAAGCTTTCCTGTAAATTATTCATTTAGTCTCCTCAAATAATTGAACAAATGATGATCAAAAAGGCAAGATTTATCGCAGTCATTATGAGGCTGATTGCAAGATCAATACCATTATTTTTCTCTTTGTTTGTGGAATTAGATGTGTCAGATTGCTTTAGATAACAGGTAACAAAGGCAGGTAAAAAGGCAGTCAGACCAGGACCCGCCACATACAGTCACATGACAGACATGTGACCAGTTGGGGCTTAAAATGTGGCCAATCAGCCAGCAGGGAAAAGGAGACTTAAGCCCAGGTATATGACCACAGAGTTATTAAGTTGACACATTCACATTCGTTTTGCATGGTAACAAGATAGGGCAGATTTGAACATTATTTATAGACCTGACACCTATCCAACTGCTGAGAATGGAAATAGACAGGACAATTTTATTGATTGATTCTGATCAACGACCAACTATCAAAACTCAGGGGTCAAAGGAGGATCAAAATCTAAACCCCAATGCACAGACAGCTTTGAGTTAACAGAGATTTTTGAACCAATCTATACATTATTATATACAAGTCCTACATGTAGGATCCTGGTCTGTTGTCACATGTTCCGCCGTTCTGACAGATATCCGGATGATCCTGACACTCGTTGATGTCCTCCATACACGTGGGTCCTTTATATCCCATGCGACAGTTACACTGGTACCCATCATCCAGGGCGTGACACTCCCCTTGGTTACGGCAAGGTTTGGGTGCACAGTGATCCACCTTGGAACAATTCACTCCTACAAAATTTGGGAACAACTTTACTTTGTAGATTTCAGTTATGAAACATTGAACTATAATAGTTGGTTGACAATGTATAAGAATATATCATATAACTTTTTAATTAACATCATATCGATAATTATTTTTAACTTTTTAAAAGAAATGTGGAAAGATATTTTTACACGAAAAATTTTAAAGATCGAGAATGATTAATTTTGCAAAATTTTGAAATTATTACAGAATTATTTTATTTAATTGGATTTTTTTTAATGTAATCAAGGGCACCTGCAATGGATAGATGGAGCCTGGAAATGATTACAGGTACTCTTCCCAAGCCTATTAATTTAAATTTAAAACTTGCAGGTTTTTTTTAAAGTTCCCAGTAACATTTACCTAGAAGTGGCCTTGAACTTGCCCAAATGACCCTGATCAAGTAAAGGCCATATCCTCTGATCATAAGCAGTCTTTCTTTGAAGCAAGAATTTAAATTTGTTTCTCCATTATAAAGTTATGGACAGGACATGATTGCACAAACAGTTGTCCCACAAAAATTATTTGGGGGAGGGGGTTATGATAATTGTCCATGAAAAAGATTTAAACTGAACTATTCAAGTGAATCAAAGTAAATTCAAAAGGTGGCATGTTTGATTAAATCATTTTATCCCCCTTATATCTCTGTGTAGTTAGATTATAATCATATAAATGTGATTAGGTTATCTCCAACAGGGTTCAAAATGTTTCATCACCAATCTTAAGGTCAAAAGTCAAGATAATTCTGTTGGTAGTATTTTAAATACTTCATTCTGCTTTATTTATCTGTGAATTTAAGTTAGAACACAATGAACTAAACAGGTTATCCATGACAGAGCTATAATCATATTTCATTTACCAATGAAAGATCAGAGTTCACATCCATGGTCAACTTTGGAATAAAATGCTTTATCTATGTGTGAATTAAGTTCACATTGAATTTCAACAAAACTGCATACTTTCAATTACTTATGTCAAGGTTGAAGGTCACCTTTGGAGAAGGGGGGTGGGTTAAAACATCTTGGAGATATCTTTTCCACAATTTGCATAAAAGGCATAAATTGCCATCTCAAAATATTTCCTTTAAATCTCATTTAAAATGGTTATTTGAATCTTTCAAACTACAACACTTTTATGATTCTTAACCAATTTCTTTTAAGTTTCAACACCTTGCAAATGAAGTATAATAAAAAAAACAAATTTAAAAATTAAAAAAAAATCAGCAAGAAAAATGTTTTTGAAACCTCGAAGCATGACATATATGGATTTTTACATACCTCTATAACCGACAGGACAAGAGCAGGCATAATCTTGAAGACTAACGGTGTTGTAACAGGTGCCCCCATATTGACAAGGATTATTGTAACATACACTGGTGGGGTCTAGAATTTCACATAAAGTCCCTGAGTATCCTAAAAATTTTCAGAACATATAAAAAACCAATGTTATATATAATTTCAACACATTTCTTTTTTCTGTGTATATTTTTTATTTAACAATATATCCTATTTCCCTATAGGAAACAAAATGACTATGTTGATATCTGACCTACATTAATTTATAACACGTTACTTAATTTGTTAACTCTTTCTTCATTTTCTATATTATAGAATAAATTCTACATTTCAAATTGAAATTTTCAAATTTCATTCAAATTCCATCCAATTTTTCCAATGTGCTATTATTCACTTGTACTGCGAGTTTCAGAACAAAGAAAGACAACTCTTCCAAATGAACCTCAAAATTGGTCTGACCTATTGAAAGAAAGATAACTCTTATTAGTTTTAATTCTCTCCCTCCTAAATTTTTACCTAATCTACAATCACAGCGTCCTTTGAATCCTGAAGCAGTTGATATAATTCGACAAGTTCCGTTATTCTCACAAAAGTGAGCGTCCGGTCTACACGGGTTGTCATCCTGACAGTACTCTCCTACATAATTCTCACCACATCTGGAAGTACAATAACAATTTTATAATGCTTGACAGCAAAAATTTTCACTTTTAATTTTATATAAGGGTATATACATTGGAACTGCCACAGAAACTGTATTAAACTGTTTTATGACTAATACTTTTCTCTTTTTACCTCTTACTTATGATAGTTAAAATCACAGGCTATGAAAATTCAAATGAAAATGAATATTGTTCTAACACTGCATGCATACAACAAGTACATGTTTTGATGTGCAACTGTTGATCTAGATGCATTAATTATACAAAATATATGTACACACCATTTACAATGTCTTGCAAAATGGAATTTAACAAAATAAAACAGATAAGAAACTACTCTGAGCTTTAGATCAAAGTTATATAAATTTCGAATTTCTTATGAAACAGAAAGATAGTTGATCATCCTTGTCCCTTTTGGTTCCTTCCATAAAATCCATGTAGAAGAAGAAGTACATGTGTACTATCAAGAGAACCAGCCTAACACCAGAACACCTGCTCTACGTACCAAGATTTACCCAATTAAGGGAGAGGCACCCTTGCTCATTCACCCTTGCTCATTAATACCAAGCACTTAGTTTGCCTATAAGTATTACCTAGGAGCAGTTTTCAAACATATAAATGTATTTTCACCATATTTACAAGAATAGAGTCGCTCTGACACAGGGACCATGGATTTGAAAAATTTTGGACAAGGTAACCTAGTTACATGTAGCTTATAATAACCATGCAATAAGCATGTTTGCTTAATATGCAAGGACAGAGAAGATTTTTTCAAGAATTCTTGCATTTTCACTATATGTACAAAAGAGCCCTGTCCTAACACCAGAACACCTGACCCAGAGGCAGGAATTTAACAATTATGTAAGAAGCACACTTGTTTATCATAAAACTTGCACTTGGTTTACCTGCTTATTGCTAAAGAACAAGTTTTTTTAAAGAATGTATCAAAAGAGCCCAACCCGTACACTACAAACCCTGACCTAGGAGCACGAAATTTACAGTTTTGGAAGAGATACCCTTGCTCATCATATTTATGCACTAAATTGCCTAACAAAGAAATATGCTTCAACAGCTTCAGTAGAGCCCCAATCTAACTCCAAAAAACCCCACCATCAAGACCATGAAATCCAAAAATTTAATACAGTTAGAGGCTCACTGCTTATTGCCATGATTACAGTCATGCCATTTGACAGTGCCATGTCCAAGAGTAAAGAAAAAGATTTTTAAAGACTGAATCTTGTAAGACTTGTAGTCCCACCACTCAGACCCTTTAAGAAGAATCTTGAAAAATCTAACAATCTAAGAATCTCTTATAAAAATAAATTTGGAGGCTTAGGCGGTTTCTAAAATAAAGCACCAAGCAACCCAATGGCAAGATACCATGCATATTGCTGAATGAGACTGTTTAAATATCTTTTTCTATTTGATTTGACAACTCTTGCTGACATACATATGGCACTCATCTGTTTCTGTGTCTCTATATCTAAACAGGATGGGATCCAGAAACTCCACGCCTGGTTCCTGCACTTATGCCTATCAATGGAAATGTCCTTGCCATGACCAATTTGTATGGTCTAGCCTTTGACCTTTCAGTATGACTCTTACATGAAACCCTTACACATTGACTCAATGGTTATTAAGTTTGTACTTCGATTGTAATGCATTCGTTATGTACTGATTAGTAAATTAAAACTGGAAGTCAAATACAAAGAAACACACTTACAGTGAACAAGTTACCAACAGCAAAGCGATTTTAATTCCCCTGACTTTATTATATATTGTACATATAAACTTGATGAATAAAACAAATTACATTTATAATAATGAAGCAAAATAGTCCATCCCTGGCCTTTTGTTATAACTAAGCTGTTTTACTGTAGATTAATGGCAAAGAGATATGCAATGTCCACTTCACAGCTTTCAAAATTAAAAACAACACTGAAATAAGTTTAAATTTACAATGATCAAAATACATACAAGCAGCAACAACAGTGAAAAATTCTGCATTCATAGGATTCATAATTGGAAAAGTTGGAACACTTATTACAGAATTATATTAAAACAACTGATGTGGGGACAACTTTTTTCATGTCAAAATTAATTCTAAGCATAAGTAACTTTTTGGGGGAAAATGCTCAATATTTTCCTTAAAACTGATACTAGAATAAGCGATGTTTGTAAAACACTTATGCCTCCCTCCCCCCAATGATTGGAATTTTTCTAAGTCCAAGGGGCATAACTCTATCCAAATGGCTGGATCATATCTAGAACAGAGATTGATCTAAATATTCTATAATAAATCTGTATACCAAATTTCATTTCAATATGTGCAACATATGCAAAGAAAATGAACAGAAACTGCAAATAATTGGAATTATTCAAAGGGGCATAACTCTGTCCAAAATGGCTCAATCATATCCAGAACACAACTTGGCCTAGATATTCTTATGATAAATTTGTATACCAAATTTTATTTAAATATGTGCAACCTCTGTAAAGAAAATGAACAGAAACTGATGGTCAACCGACAAACAAACGGACAGCAGCGAAGCAATATGCACTCCATTCTTCGAAGAGGGGGGATAATAATAGAAGTCCTCAAAACACATATATTTGAGATACCAGTGAGGTGGTTACACAAAAATTCCATTCTATCAAAAAGACATTTAAAGGTTCCAAAAATGGCATATTTTCTAATCATGCTTATAATAACCTCCAGCAATGCAACCTTCTATGATAGCTTAAGCTGGTCATTTTGTGTACCCATTCTGTTCATTTTGTACTGTAACATATCTCAGGACTGGTACCCCACTACCCTTAAATTTTCAATTTAAATCCCCATATCATAAGTTTCGTTGTTTGTAATGAATTTATAGACACACAACATGATAATATTTGCCTGTATTATATACAAACTTGATCCTCATTCATTGCTAGGTGACTCAAGCTTATCACTTGCTTTGCATTTTGACAGGTCTCAATAAAGTATCAATTTAATGATAAGGAAAATCCTAAAAGGTGTAAACAGACCACTTCCACGCGAGGTACATGCACTTATAAACAGTAATTTTATACTTATAAATGTACAACTCTAATAATTATATTCCTGTATTAAGAGAGATAACTCTTGCAAGACTCGGTTCCGTTTGAAGAGGGAAGGGCTTCAGGTAAAGGTTTACTGTTGTTTAATGGGGCGATTAGAAAAGACGAGACAGGTGTGAATGTCTATAGGTAAACACGGCTAGCTCTCCCCCGACAGGTGAAACACTTCAATACATCTAGGCTAAATCTAATTACTACCTGCACCATTTTGCGACACTCTAAATCCAGCTGTCATATTCAACCATTTATTCAGTCGACATAAAAAGATGAACAGATACCTCAGACCATGAGGATCTAATAAAAAATTCAATGACATTCCAGTACACAAGATGGAAATCTTACGGCAATTCCTTGTTCAAAGAGAATGAAATGAAATTGTCTTGTAGACATGCAAGTCTTTGAAATTCGATTCAGCTTTCAATTTTTAATACCTTAACAGCATACAAATTATAACCATATACTTAAATTATGTATACTAAAGACTGGGTACAAAGATATAAATCTAAATGATTTTTTACATCAACTTCATAAATACCAAAGAAATGCTGGCATATTTTACTCCGTAAAACTACTTTTTGTTAAAAAATCTCTTTCAACTTAGACAAAAATGGATTGTATTTATATTGCAATCAATCAATTTCAAAGTTACGTTTTATTTTTTGTGAACTTGAGATGTCAATCAAGTGTTGTAGACAAAGCTAAATTCTGCATAATGAGATATAGTGATCTATCACCTTCCATATAACACACCATATGCAGTGCTCTGAAGTATGTATCTTACGGTAAGTACCGTAGAAACTGGCCAATCAAATGGCCTCTAACGACAGGTGTTCCAAGCCATTACCTGAAGAAAGCACACCTAACGACTCAACCTTTAAACATGACCTAACTGATTTTGATATCATATCTTTGCTAAACAGACTACATTTTATCAGCATTCTGATAGCTCAAATAAATAAACAGTTCTTGATTTCACTCCTTACATAATCTTGTCAAGTAAGAAAATGATGATTAACTTGCTATAAACACAAAATCTAAAGAAGAAAAAAATCCCCCATTTAACAAAGTTTTTGTAAGTATGAAAAAAAAACTTCTATCATTCCTAAATTTGCATAAACTTCCTCGACCATGTTATGACTACGCAGCAAGGATTTTGTTAGGCCAGATACAAATCATCAGCAAGACTATGGCAGTCCCAACTTGTCTCCCCGGTTAGTTTACAACCCCTCAATTGTTTATCCCCCTTTCCATCCTTGTGTTGACTGAGAATAAGTAGACTCTGAACACAACAGCATAAACTGTTTCCTAATTGGTGTACACATGTCCATTAAGTTCGGGTGTTCACCCTGTGAATTCCTAGCTCACCCATCACAGCTCCATCTCTGGGCTCTCTCTATTAGTAATACGCCTCCATCTCCCCGCCATATGCAGCATATTTATACCAGCAGTACACAGAAGTCAAAAACTCCATCCGCACTGGGTAAATAGGGGTCTGTCATCATTACCCCAAACAATGGAATTTACAATAATATGTACAAATAGATATTTATGCCAATGTCCAAGAGGAGATTGTCCCGAACTGAAATGCGTAGTCATTATGCAGAAATACGCAGATTTAGTATGCATCTCATATTAAAAGAAATCGAAGGACACATTTTAGCGAGACGCAAATTTAGCGATTTGTCCTTAAAATTGGTATATTATTTTTAGCGAGATGTAATTTTAACAGTTTTGAAACGCTCACTTAAAAAACCATTACAGATAAATCGTGACTAATTTTTAGCGATATTCAATTTTAGCGTCCTTTGCACCCTCGCTAATAATGCCAAAATTTAATCCTCGCTAAAAATTCTGCTTATGTGGTAATTATTTTGTGCATAAAAGCAATTATCAAA